AGCCTCACAAGAACTGCACTGCTTGACGCCTACCTTTAAATGGCTAAGAGAAGCTACCAATGAATTAAATAAGTTGGCCAAAGCCCAAAACAATGGATGGCTTCCAAATGCTTCACATAGGCTTTATAATGGCTGAGTTGAGAGGCGACTTCCTGAGCGACAAATCTAAGTTTTTAGGCCAGATATTTTGTCTCAATTAGGGCAGGTATCCCCAAAAAAAATTTTAAGAAAAACGTGCAGAGTTATCAAAATGCTGTTTTCTCACATGTTTTTCTATGTCTCTAAGTATCCAATTAAAGGCAAACGACGGACTAATCATTCTCTTTCTCACAACCCCAATACCTCCTAACAGTTAAAACCCTATTTATTTACCAAAGGAGGCCCAGGGAGTATCAAATTAGCGCCCGTCTAAGGGAAGGCATTTTTCCAGACTCGGGAGGCTATAGATAGGGCTTTCTTCACCAGCCAGAGCTGAGTTCCAGAAGGCACTGGCAGCCGGGGTGGCCAGCTCTGAGGTCCCAGATCTCTAAGTCGGTTCCCAAGGTCCTTTCAGGCGGGCGGGGACAGAGTCGGGTTTCGGGGGATGGGTTAAGCTCCGGGCCTCACGCACTGGACCCCACCCTCACGGTAGAAATGGAAAGGACCGGGGCGTGGTGCGGGGGGTTTCGCCCCAACCCGGCTCCTCGGAGAAGACGGCGGGGCAGTGAAACAAAGCTGACCGGTGCAGCCGGCGAGGAACAAACTCCCGCAGGAGCTTACTTTAAGAGGACAAGAAGGGGGCGCCGCAGGGTGCAGGGGCGGGTGGAGGAAATCTGATCGCCGGGCAGCTGGCCGAAAAGGGCAGCAGGGAACCCTAGGCCAGTCGATCGACACCGTTTTACTTTTTGGGGGTAGGAGGAGTATCGAAATTTATTCGGCCGCCAAAACGAGAGGCAAGGATAAGGTAGTGGAAGCCGAGGCTAGGACCCGGCTTCTGCCAGTTCTGCTGGGCCCACAGCCGGCCCTCGGAGGGTCACAAGGGGAAGGTGTCCGGGATCCCCACCCTGCAGCCCCGCAGCTTTGAGGGGCCGTCATCTAGGCGGACGTGAAGGCCCTTACCGCTTGAAATCCCGCATGAGCCTTCTCCGGGCCGGGGTCGACATGCTCCCCAGCTGCCCCGCGGTCAGTCTGAAAGAAAAGAGTCCCGCGCAGCCCCCCCACCCCCCGGCGCGGCGGCCAAATCACTGTGGGTAGCTGCCGCTGCTGCCGTCGCCGAGACTGACAAACAACCCTGCAATGACGTCTCCCTCCGCCGCCTCCGGATCCCTCCGCCCTCCGGATCCCTCCGCCCTCCGCCGCTACCACGGAAGAGCGTTGGGGGAGGAGGGGGCGGGACGCTGGAGCGCGCGTTCTCCGAGCCCTTCTGCGGGGCTGGGTTCAGCCTGGGCTTCCTGAAATGATCGGCAAGTTTGTGTACTCTGTGCTTACACTAGAGGTTGTGGATTCAGAGACCACGGAACCGAAACACTATCTGTCCCCCTCCCCGTCATTAGTTTAGACTCGGCGGGGTGGAGAGAGGGGGGACTCATCCGGGCCAGAGATTTCAGGGAAAGGAGGTGGGATGACGTAAGATCACGTGACTGACCGTGGCCTTGTCAACAATCCACCCCTGAGGGGGAGGGGGAGAAGTATCTAGAACCACGTGTCCCTATGACGCCTTTAGAATGGGTCACGTGAAAGCCTCGCCTCTATGTGAGTTTCAGCCAGCTCTATGAAGCTGGTTCAAGGGAGATTACACCTTTATTAGTTGTTTCCTGTTTATTACAGGTTAGAGACATCATTACCCAAGAGATCATGGCAGAATCAACAGCTTGTTTTGTTTTGTTTTGTTTTTTTTTTTTTTTTGAGGGTTTTAAAATTATTTATTTATTTTACATTTTGTAGAGGCAGGGTCTCTCAAAGTGCTGGGATTACAGGCATGAGTCACGTTTTGTTTTCTTTAAACCGGGACCAAAAATAATTCCCCTCTGGTTGGTTCAGTGGCTTATCAACTCTGCTATTGGGGCAAGAAGGGTATTGCACGATCTTCTAAGGCAGCATTGAATGTTGAGGCCCACACAACAATATCCTGCAATGCTTCCTTGAAGCTACCAAATAGTCTTTCAGCTTTGCAGTGGGGTTTCTAGTATTGAAAATTTTGGGCAAACATTAAAGGATGGTGTATTATGCAGTTTTTCCTTTCTGGGTCTGCTTTCATTTGAAGATATGTGTCAGAGTCCGGGACTTGCCTATAGGGGGTTGTACCATTGTATATTTTTAAGGAATGTGGGGTTGCAGACTTCCAGGCTTATCAATGAGTGGTTGGTTGTCAAAGAAACCTACAAATATGATTTATACCTGGGGGAGAGCTCCTGTAGATATGAGTGAGGGTTATAAATCTAGCCTGAAGGCCCGGTGCGATGGCTCACGCCTATAGTCCCAGCACTTTGGGAGGCTGAGGCGAGTGGATCACGAGGTCAAGAGATCGAGACCATCCTGGTCAACAAGGTGAAACACCGTCTCTACTAAAAATACAAAAATTAGCTGGGCATGGTGGCGTGCGCCTGTAGTCCCAGCTACTCGGGAGGCTGAGGCAGAATTGCTTGAACCCAGGAGGTGGAGGCTGCAGTGAGCCGAGACTGCGCCGTTGCACTCCAGCCTGGGTAACAAGAACAAAACTCTGTCTCAAAACAAAACAAAACAAAAAAATAAATCTAGCCTGAGATAACTTTAGGTTTTCTACACTAGCAAGTAAAGTGCAAATGGGCCAGAAGTGCCCCCCCATCACCAGGGGGGTTCAAAAGTGTTGATCTCCCACAGACCTTGAATATTTTCTGTAGTTACTGTCCTTCCCTCTATTGCTTCCAGTTCCTACCCTCAGGACTTTGTTATACTAAGGACTCTGAGTACTGAGGAATCCTTCAGCTCAACAGGGAAAGGGAAGGTGGAATGAAGACCTTAGCATTGCCTCAACCTTGCCCATAGTTCCATGGAAGCAGAGTTAACTTTTCCGACTTTCCTTGCATCTTCCTCTTTAAACCCTGAATTCTCTCTCTGCTTCCAGTGACTGCCTCGGTAATCGAGTTAGGCAGGCCTAACTCTTGATAGGTCCTGTTAAACATTTCACAATGTGTTTTCTAAGTCAAAAGCTGAATATTCTTAATTTTTTTGCCTTTCTGCCATTGCAGTCCTAACCCTTCCGATAACAAAAGAGAAAGATACACATGTAAGGTTACATGGAGAAAAATGGTCAAGAGAAACTGTATCTTAAAAATATTCGGCATGAGCTGAGACATAAGCTCATGCCTGTAATCCTAATACTTTGGGAGGCCATAAGTTTGAGACCAGCCTGTGCAAAACAGGAGATCCTGTCTCTGCAAAAAGTAAAATTAGCTAGGCGTGGTGACATACACCAGTAGTCCCAGCAACCTGGGAGGCTGAGGCAGAAGGATCGCTTGAGCCGAGGAAGTTGAAGCTGCAGTGAACCATCATCGTGCCACTGAGACCTTGACAAAAAAAAACAAAAACAAAAACAAAAACACCTTATAATTTACCAGTTAAGGCAGTCACTGAAAGCAGAAACAATTCAGGGTTTGCAGAAAGGGAGGTACAAGGAAAGTGGAAAAAGTTAACCTTTTCTGGTTCCATGGAACTATGGGCAAGATTAGGAAAATGGTGAGGTCTTCCTCCCTCCCTCCCTTTCCCTGTTGAGCTGAAGAATTTCCTAAATGGATACAAATGTGCTCAGAATCCTCTTGACTGACCAACGAAATACTGAAGATGGGAACTGGAGGCAACAGAGATAAGGAATTCAGTGACTACAGGGATTTACAATTGTTTTGGAAACAGTTTATTTTCCAAAATGAAATAACACTTTGATTAATTCAGTGAATCTGCATCATAAAGTCTTACAATTGTGTATTAGCAAGAATCACTGGCTGTCCTGGTTAACCAGGCCTGCCACAACCTACTTGTAGAAGGAATAATTTTAAAGCTATCAATTGTATGCTGTTATCAATTCTGTAGCTCTGGATTATGAACTCACTGAGGGCAGGGAAGGGACTCCATTTGGTTCATTTTTCTCCTGGGAAAATTTTTTCTTTTTCTTTTTTGAGACAGTCTTGCTTTGTCACCCAGGCTGGAGTGCAGTGGCGTGAACAGGGCTGACTTTTTTTTACAGAAAAAAGAAAAAAAGAGCTCTATTCAAAAAAAAAAAAAAAAAGCACTCCTTAGGGACTTGCTCTAGTGATGTGGTGGTTATTCATTAGGGACTGTCACTTCAGCTGAACTCTGTCTACTTAAGCAATTAGACTCCGGCATCTTTATTTCTGTGCCCTTGTACATCACTTCCAATATAGTAGAACCCTTCGAATTACTTGCTTGCCTAGAAGTTTGACATGTTGTGAGGGAGGGTTCTTTTTTTTTTTTTTAAAGATTACTAACAGAAAAAATTAAAAGGCATATGGCACGTGTTCAAGAAGTTTTTAAGAACCATGTTGGCCAGGCGTGGCCGCTCACCCCTGTAATCCCAGCACTTTGGGAGGCCGAGGCGGGCAGATCACCTGAGGTCCGAATTCGAGACCAGCCTGGCCAACATGGTAGAAACGCTGTCTTTACTAAAAATACAAAAATTAGCCGGGCATGGTGGCGCATGCCTGTAATCCCAGCTACTCGGGAGGCTGAGGCAGGAGAATCATTTGAACCCGGGAGTTGGAGATTGCAGGGAGCCAAGATTGCGCCACTGCACTCCAGCCTGGGCAACACAACAGGGCTGTCTCAAAAAAAAAAAAAAAAAATGAGGACGCTCATCACCTCCATTCAAAAGTAACCTTGTGAGGAGGCTCAGCTGCGACAGTAACCTGTACTGCCCACCCCATTGCCGAGGACTCTTCATCTTGCACCTATCCAGAACAGGTTCCTTTTCTTCTCACTTTCTTTTCCGGGTCGGAACCTTGACCACGTTCCGGTCTTGCGCACTAGGGCTAGAACGCAGCAAGACCGTTTCCATGGTAGCGAGTGGCCGGAGCCTTGGCTAGGACGTAACCAACAAAGTAGGGTCAGTGTTCCGTGGCTCCACGCAGAGCCAGGCCAGCGGGACCACAGAGAATGGGCTGAAGCGGCGGCAGCTGTTTGGATAAAGTCGACAGCTGGACGTGGGGCGTGACGCCGGTCCGGCATCCTAAGACGTCTGGTTTGAATTGAGGGCGGGAAGTAGGCGACTGCTGTAGTGCAGGAACTTCTTATTTGACAGGAACATGACAGGAATTGTGGGGACCCCATGCTTGATGGATGGTGACTTATAGTGAGGTAATCTCAAGGTGTTGAAGGGCATGACCGAGATCGCAGGAGTACCCCTGAGTTCTGGTGAGAGCTGGAGCCTCAAAAGGACACTTTACTCAAGCTCTTTAGTTCCCAAAGACAAAAAAGCTCAGTGGAAAAGATTCATTTTTTTGTTTGTTTAATGGCTCTGTTATTTGAAACTATGGGTTTATTGTGTATATGATTATCTAGTTTGAATAAATAAAAGTATAAACGTTTAACATTTTCCATTTTCTTTCTTCATTTCTATAAAGTAATAAAAGCCCAGCTTGAAAATGGAGATGTATGAAACTCTTGAAAAAGTGGGAGAGGGAAGTTACGGAACAGTCATGAAATGTAAACATAAGAATACTGGGCAGATAGTGGCCATTAAGATATTTTATGAGAGACCAGAAAAATCTGTCAACAAAACTGCGATGAGAGAAATAAAGTTTCTAAAGGTTTGTTTCTTTTGCCTTAATCATCTAAGTCAAAAGAAAAATTGTTATGGAATGAAAAGTTGCATGAAATATTTTAGTTCATACATGTACTGATTCATGTTATATAAAAAGTGATACTCTATCTTGTCTACATTTTGTAATTTTGTAGTGATACAGGATATATGTGTTTTGGGTATGTAACAAAAGCTATGCCAATATTGTTTAATAATTATTCAGAAATATTCAAGTATAATACTTAATAAAAATTTCTGCTAGGTAGTAGTGAGACTCTAAGGAGGTAAAAGATACTTCCTGCCCTTAAAGATTTCTATAATCAGAAAGGAGAGTATATAAAAGTAATACTGAATAAAAAGTGGCTTGTAATAAATGCCAAGGAATCAACACAAAGTCCTTTCCCTAGTAGGGAAAGTTTTTTTGAGGAAATGGGACATGAATTAGGCTTTGAAGGATGTAGAGGGTTTAGATAAGAGGAAGAAACTGTTTTCTAGGTTAGAGGAACAACATAAACTCAAAGAAACTAAAAAGGGACAAAGGATAAAGGGCAAAGTGGAAAGCACAAAGAGCAAAGACATTTGCCTGTAGAGTTTTCTAAGCGGAATTGGAAAGAGGTAAATTAGAACAGTAAATTGGAGGTAGATTTTAAAGTCTTTTAGGTTAAGAAGTCAAAACTTGATTTTTTAAAAGATGGAAAGTCAGTGAAGGTTTTATTCAGTGTAAAAAATGTAAATTTTAATCTAGCGGTATTGTGCAAAATGGATTGGAGGACTGAGAGTAAAACCAGGTCCTGTTCAATTAAGGAATTTTGGAAAACATCTCAGGGCCTTTGCTAAAATGCAGCAATGTGAATGGAAAGTAAAGTTAGAACATGGTATATTGTAAAAGAAGACATGGGGCCGGGTGCAATGGCTCATGCCTGTTATCCCAGCACTTTGGGAGGTCAAGGTGTATGGATCACCTGAGGTCAGGGGTTTGAGACCATCCCGGCCAACATAGTGAAACCCTGTATCTACTAAAAAAAAAAAAAAAAAAAAAAGCCAGGCATGGTGGCTCACGCCTGTAATCCCAACATTTTGGGAGGCCAAGGCTGGTGGAATCGCCTGAGCTCAGGAGTTTGAGACCACCCAGGGCAACGTGGTGAAACCCCATGTCTACTAAAAATACCAAAAAATTAACCAGGTGTGGTGGCGCATGCCTCTAGTCCCAACTACTTGGGAGGCTAAGGCAGGAGAATCGTTTGAGTCCCAGAGGCAAAGGTTGCAGTGAGCTGAGATTGCCCACTGCACTCCAGCTTGGGCTACAGAGTGAGACTCCATCTCAAAAAAAAAAAGAAAAAAAAAATAGCCAGGCGTAGTGGTGTGCTCCTTTAGTTTCAGCTACTTGGGAGGCTGAGGCACGAGAATCGCTTGAACCCAGGAGGTGGAGGTTGCAGTGAGCTGAGATCCTGCCACTGCACTCCAGCCTGGGTGACAGAGACTCTGTCTCAGAAAAAGGAAAAAAGAAGACATGAAAGAGTGTGGAAAGCTATAGAAAGGCAGGAGTCAAAGGTCTCTTTTAGGTTCAGTGATTGCTACAATTGATAGAAATATGAAAGACTCAGACATGGTTTGGGAACTACTTCAATTTTAGAAATGTTGAATTTGAGGTGACAGGAATACATTTAAGAAAAAATGACCAGTAGGCTTTTACAGATGAGGAACAGTATCAGGAGAGATCAGGGAAGAGGATAGAATCCTATGTAGGCGTGACAGTTCAACCCAGGGGAAACAACTGAGGAATGTGAAGAAAGGAGCATTAACATTCCTTGGATACTGGGTAGAAAACCAATGATTTAAAAAATATTGAAATATGTATGTATTCTATTTATTGAAATCTTTACATTCTTTAAGGTTTATGATCTTGACGATATAGTTTAGATGTTTTGTATGCAATAGATGTTCTTATCTGTCTTTATCTGATACAAAAATAATATTTTCTTCTTTCTTTGTAAGTCTATATGAGATATAGTGGATCAATTTGCTTGCTTGCCTTCCTTCCTTCCTTCTTTTCTTCCTTCCTTCCTTCTTTCTTCATTTCTTTTCTTTTCTTTCCATGGAGTCTTTCTTACTCATACCTGTAATCCCAGCACTTTACTCTGTTGCCCAGGCTGCAGCACAGTGGCATGACCACAGCTCACTGCAGCCTTCATCTTCTCGGCTTAAGCAATCTTCCTGTTTGGGCCTGTCAAACAGCTAGCTTTATAGGCATGAGCCACTGTGCCTGGCCTAATTTGCTTTCAAAGTACAGGAAGTATATTAGGCATCTGTGGATTATTAGAACAGCTCTATGCCAGGTGCGGTGGCTCACACCTGTAATCCCAGCACTTTGGGAGGTGGAGGCAGGTGGATCACGAGGTCAGGAGTTTAAGACCAGCCTGGCCAGCATGGTGAAACCCTGTCTCTACTAACAATACAAAAAATTAGCCGTGCATGTTGGCAGGCACCTGTAATCCCAGCTACTTGGGAGGCTGAGCCAGGAGAATCACTTGAACCCAGGAGGGGGAGGTTGCAGTGAGCCACCACTGCACCACTGCACTCCTTTCTGGGCAACAGAGTGAGACTCTGTCTCTAACTAAATAAATACAAACAAACAGCTCTATTTATTTTTTTCTTTTCTTTTTCTTTTTTTTTTGAGTTGGAGTTTCACTGTTGTTGCCCAGGCTGGAGTGCAATGGTGCCATCTTGGCTCACTGCAACCTCTACCTCCCGGATTTTCCTGCCTCAGCCTTCCTGGTAGCTGGGATTACAGACATGCACCACCACACATGGCTAATTTTGTATTTTTAGTAGATACGGTGGTTTACCATGTTGGCCAGGCTGGTCTTGAACTTCTGATCTCAGGTGATCTCAAACTTCTGGCCTCCCGAAGTGCTGGGATTACAGGCATGAGCCACAGTGTCCAGCCAGCTCTATTTCTAGACAATGAAAAGTTAAAGTCAGTAAAGATGTTATGATTTTGTGAAAGATATCAGTTCTGTCCTGATGACCTGAAACATAATAATACTATAAATAAGGGACTTTTTGTGCACTATGAATGAAAATCTGATTAGAAGGAGATTTTTCCCCCAGGCAGTATGTCTTGCTCTTTCTTCAATTGTTGCACTTAAACTCATTATTTTTTTCTACTTAATCATTTGTAAAACTAACCAATATGTGACAATACAGAGAGGAACTTGAATGTGCATTTTACTATTACAACTGTTATGCAGATGATTTTGAGATACCCCAACTATTCTCATTGGCTTTTTGTTATTGCTGTTGTTGTGGTTTTGAGATAGTCTTACTCTGTCATCTAGGCTGGAGGGCAGTGGCACAATCTTGGCTCACTGCAACCTCTGCCTCCCAGGTTCAAGCATTTCTTGTGCCTTAGCCTCGCAGTAGCTGGGATTACAGGCATGTGTCACCACGCCTGGCTAATTTTTGTGTTTTTAGTAGAGATGGAGTTTTCCCATGTTGCCCAGACTGGTTTTGAACTCCTGGCCTCAGGTGATCTGCCCACCTCAGCCTCCCAAAGTGCTGTACAGGTGTGAGCCACTGTGCCTGGCTCTTATTGGCTTTTTATTAAATTTGATATAATCTAATTTCACTAGAGAGATTTCTTGGATTAGTTAATATTCTTAGTCTAAAAAACTTGTCATGATGATTTAATTTGAACTAAATTTTTATGCTAGAATTTCATTAAATAAATGAGTAATTAATGAGAATATCTGCAAAAAAAGCTGTCTAGTAATAGAGAAAAACAAAATTAAACAACTTGAAGAGGGGTACTGGAGCATTTCCAGGGATTTCATTTCATGGTTTATCTGAGTAAATACTGTACTTAATTCTTCATCCCTGAATGGATCTTCCATAATCCTGTTCACATTAATCCTTCCCTGCTTTCACTGCTTTTGCCTTTAAAATAAAGACTGGACAGGAAACCGTAATTTTCCATAAGTAGAGAATTAATATTGTAGTGTCCAAAAGCAGTCAACTCTTTTTTTTTTTTTTTGAGATGGCGTTTCACTCTTGTCCCTCAGGCCGGAGTACAATGGTGTGATCTCGGCTCACTGCAACCTCCACTTCCCAGGTTCAAGCAATTTTCCTCTCTCAGCCTCTCTAGTAGCTGGAATAACAGGCAACCACCACCATGCTGGGCTAATTTTTGTATATTTAGTAGAGACAGGGTTTCACCATGTTGAACAGGCTGGTCTTGATCTCCTGACCTCAGGTCATCTGCGCACCACAGCCTGCCAAAGTGCTGGGATTACAGGTGTGAGCCACTGTGCCCAGCTAGCAGTCAGTTGTTTTCAATGCTGGCAGTATGCTATGGCTGCAGCACTCTGGCATCTTGCCAACCAGGGAAATTTGGAGCGAAAAGGAAAGGAATCTGGTGTTATATTTTGGATGTTTGTCTCTAGTCATGTTTTAAGGACTTTCATCTCTTCATCAGTTACAGAGAAGCAGAAAAATTGACATTGTGCCATTGGAATAAAGGCAAATATATTTTCATAAAAGTGTAGTTTTCTAAAGCTAGGAGCAGTGGCTCATGCCTGTAGTCCTAGCAACTTGGGAAGCTGAGGCAGGAGGATCTCTTGAGGCCAGGAGTTTGAGACCAGCCTGGCAATATAGCAAGATTCTTTTTCTTTTTCTTTTTTTTTTTTTAATCAGTACTTCTTCATTTTTAGTCAAATAAGCATATATTCTTGATAGTTTGGACGAAGTGGTTAAATATTTCAGAACTGATTGTAATTAAGTCAGTGTGATAAAAAATAAAATAAGTAGCATACAACATTAAATCTCATTTGTTTCCTAAGCTGATACATGGCCATCGTTGACATTTTAAAATTAGCAATGATTGTTACCAGTCTGAAAAGGTGGTTAGTTTTTTAATAAGAGTACAGACAACAAACAAACATTTGCCCACAAATAATTATATAATTATGTAAACTTTCTGTGGTTATAAATTGATAGTTTACATATCTGAAGATTTTGCAGATATTTTGATATTGTTTTGTTATAGTCTAATGAATTTATGATGTCCCCTAGAACTTATGATTTACTTTCTAGAGTTTAGGATCAAAATTAAATAATAATTAACCTATATAAATTCAGATCACATACTTAATTGTGTTGAAATCCATGCTCATCTGAAAACAGGACCTTTTAAATTTCGGGTGTTAAACCTAAACCAAGTTTAAAAATACCAAGATATCTCTCAACAGAATACTAAGTTATATACATTAAATTATTTTCACAAGCAACCAAATACCAACCTCAGATAAAGTAATATATCTCACTTTGTCCTATAAATATTGATTATAAAATATATTAAAATTTTCTTAAAATAGGAATGGAAGCAAACTGGTTGAGAAATTTCAGTTGAAGTACATGGAACATAGGCTGGGCATGATGACTCACACCTATAATTCCAGGAGTTTGGGAAGGCAAGGCAAGAGGATCACCTTAGGTCAGGATATCAAGACCAGCCTGGCCAACATGGGGAAATCCTGTTTCTACTAAAAATACAAAACTTAGCTGGGTGTGGTGGTGTACGCTTGTAATCCCAGCTGCTCAGGACACTGAGGCAAGAGGATGGCTTGAAGCAGGGTAGTGGAGGTTGCAGTCAGCCAAGATTGTGAGACTGCACTCCGGTGACAGAGTGAGACTCCATCTCAAAAAAAAAAAAAAAAAATGCATGGAACAAAGCTGAGAATATTACTGTTTTTTTCAAAATTTTAGGTGTTCTATGTACACATTGTTATGCTTGAAATAATTGAAAATTTGTTTCTTTTGTCAATAGCAATTTCATCATGAAAACCTGGTCAATCTGATTGAAGCTTTCAGACAGAAAAAGAAAATTCACTTGGTATTTGAATTTATTGACCACACAGTACTAGATGAGTTACAACATTATTGTCATGGACTAGAGAGTAAACGACTTAGAAAATACCTCTTCCAGATCCTTCGAGCAATTGAATATCTTCACAGTAATAATGTAAGTGCTTTAGAATAAGACATTGTAGGATGAGTATGAATCATAAATGCTCCTTATACATTGTTTTATTTTCATGAAGGTTGCTAACATTCTTTTTCTAAACAATAATAATAGATATCCTGAAAATGGGATAGGGAATGGTGGGGGCGCTATATCTTAGTTGCAGAACAAAGATACTGAGCACTCAGTAATTGTAACTATAAAGTAGACCAAGTGGGATGGTAAAGGCAGTATCAATAATTATGTTTAGTAGAATCAATAATCAACTGGGCCACCATTATTAGAGGAAGTATATTAAAACACTGAAAGTCAAGGCTGTGGCTTAATGGAGAGCTGCTCAAATTAAGGGAGGTTTAGCATTAGGAAGTGGAAATTAGGCCAGGGTAATAGCTAATTAATGTGGATGCCTTTGGGGAAGAAAGGAGGTATAAAGTGGCTGAGAGGTAAGAGGCATTGTCATTTAACCTGTGAAAAATCAAGGAAAAGAAAAGATCAGCTATTCTGATTTTTAATGTTGACTTACCATTGCCTCCTAAGTGTTTATAGCTCAGCAGGGTTTTGTTTTGTTGTGTTTTTTTGAGTTGGAGTTTCACTCTTGTGGCCCAGGCTAGCTTACCGCAACTGCTTCCTGGGTTCAAGCAATTCTCCTGCCTCACCCTCCCAAGTAGCTGGGATTACAGGCATGCACCACCATGCCCAGCTAATTTTCTATTTTTAGTAGAGATGGGTTTCTCCATGTTGGTCAGGTCTCGAACTCTGCACCTCAGGTGATCCACCTGCCTCAGCTTCCCAAAGTGCTGGGATTAGCCACCATGCCCCGCCAGCTCAACAGGTTTTTATGGAGCTTCTTTTGTTCTCATCGTGGCTCTACTTTCTGGAAAATTAGATATATATTCAGGAAATAACACTAAAAGCCTGAAAAATAATATTTTTATTTATTTTTAAATTTTTAAATTGTTTTTTAGAGCAGAGTCTTTCTGTATTTCCCAGGCTGGTCTTAAACTCCTGGGATCAAGCAATCCTGCTTCAGCCACTCCAACTACTGGGATTACAGGCATGAGTCACCATACCTGGCCAGAAGTAATTTTATTAGGTAGATGACACAGGCACAACTATATACCCTAGGGTTTTATAGATTTGATATCTTAATCTCTACCTGTCTGACTTGCTAATAATGTGTCTCATTTTGTGACTTTGAAAAATGTGGCTGTGATAGCAACTAGAAATCAGATTGTAGTTTCCTTGCCAGCTGAATCCATGGGGAGGCAGTATAACATGACAGTTAAGAGCATACAGTCTATGGAATCAGACCGTCCTGAGTTTTGACCTTACTGGTTTTTCACTATGAAAAAACACGCAACTTCTGCAGTGCACAACTTGTGCGACCAAAGGTGACTCTGTGATCTTGGGAAAGTTATCTAACCTCTCTGAGTCTCATTTTCCTCATCTGTAAAATGATACTGTGGTACCTCACAGGTTTTTATTTTTTATTAAAAATTTTTTTTCTTTAAACATTACATCCAAGGAAAAGGGAACGCACAGGTTACTATCACTTATGAGTTTAGTAATTTCTTTTTTTTGAGTCAGAGTTTCACTTGTTTACCCAGGCTGGAGGGTAGTGGCATGATCTTGGCTTACTGCAACCTCTGCCCCCGAGGTTCAAATAATTCTCCTGCTTTAGCTTCCTGAGTAGCTGGAAATATAGGCACCCACCACCACATCCATCTAATTTTTGTATTTTTAGTAGAGATGGGATTTTACCATGTTGGCCAGGCTGGTCTTGAACTCCTGACCTCAGGTGATCTGCCCACCTTGTCCTCCCACAGTGCTGGGATTATAGGCCTGAGCCACTGTGCCTGGCCAAGTTTAGTAATTTTAGTATTCATTTCTTCTGCATCTCTTATGATGCCTGCTTGCCTCCCAGCCAGGACTACTCAGTACTCCAAGCAGTGGTTTGGGAGAGAGAACTTACAGGCAGTGAAATCCAAATTCCTTACAAGACTCTACAAGGCCCTATCTACCCCCATAACTTTCACAAGCTAACCTGTCTGGCTTTTTTTTTAGACAGTGTCCCTATATGTTGCCCAGATTGGAGTGCAGTGGCTATTCACAGACACAATGGTAGCACCCTGCAGCCATGAACTCCTGGCCTCAAGTGATCTGGGACTACAGATGCAGCACTTCACAGATTTTTTTTTTTTTTTTCTGAGACAGGGTCTCACTCACTCCGTTGCCCACAGTGGAGTGCATTGGCCCAATCACAGCTCACTGCAGCCTCAACCTCCCAGGCTCAAGTGATCCTCCTGCCTCCGCCCCCTGAATAGCTGGGACTACAGGCTCACACCAGTGTAAGAATTAAAGAAAGAGGAGAGAAACATGAAGGGTGACTTTTCAGTCAACAGGGATAGGTTTATTTTAAATAAACCTGAGAGAGGCTTCTGGCCAAGTTAGGTCAGAGCTCACTCTCTTACAGTTTTTAAGGATTCAGGGTGGGAGAGTTTATTAGAGGCTTGGACTGCTTCTTTGTCTCTTCATTGTGCTTATTTGGGAGGGAGAGCTGGGTGTCTTTTCCCATACATCTTTCTGCAGCTGCAGGCATGTCCCCCAAGTCTGCTTTTAGCTTCCCTGTCTTAGTGCACTTGAAAGGAAAGGAATGTGCTTATTAAGGCCCACTGTTTTATTGGGGCCCATTGTATGAGGATGAAGTTTGGCAGTTACCCAAGAAACTTTCCCCCCATCTCCCTCTGTGTCCCAGTTGTTCTTAACTTCAGAGAGAGCTGTTAAGTCAGGTTACAGGGAACAACAGGTTGAGGAAGATAAGATTACACAGGTTCCCAGGGGAGAGATTTTCCAGAACTCTGAAATTTATCCATAAGAGGGTGGACTCTTTCCTGAGGATGCTGGGAAACTATTGAAGATTTTGTTGTTTTTTTGTTTTTGTTTCTCTTGAGATAGGATCTTGCTCTGTTGCCCACATGGGAGTACAATAGCATGATCATAGCTCACTGCAGCCTCCAACTTCTGGGCTCAAGCAATCCTCCTGCCTCAGCCTCCCAAGTTGCTAGGACTGCAGGCACGTGGTACTACCCCTGACCCATTGGAGGTTCTTGAGCATTGCCATGACTGGATGAAAATAAAACCCAATTTTATTTTATCAAGAGTGGAAGATATGAGTAGACAGAGACCCAGAGACATCAGGTGGGAAGTTGTGACAGTCTAGACGTGTGGGTAGTTAAGGGTTTGGACTAAGATAGTAGCAATGGGAAGGAGAGGAAAGATGGCAGAGGGAGAGGATGGAAAGATTTCAGAGGGAAAATCACAGGACTTGGGAACTAATTAGATATGAGAGGGTTAAAAACAAAGGGTGAAGTCAGAGAGGTTGTTACAGTATTATTATTATTATTATTTTTTGAGACAGAGTCTCGCTCTGTCACCCAGGCTGGAGTGCAGTGGTGTGATCTCAGCTCACTGCAACCTCTGCCTTCTGGGTTCAAGCAATTCTCCCTGCTTTGGCCTCCCGAGTAGCTGGGATTACAGGTACCTGCCATCCTGCCCAGCTAATTTTTGTATTTTTCATAGTATTGCAGTATTTTTAACTGAGAGCCAGAGAAGTGCCATTGTCAATGACTGAATTTAGAAATGGGAATTGCTTTAAGATATATCGATATGTTTTAAGAAATAGTGAGAATTTCTATTGAGTATCTACTGATAAACATTTTTTATACTAGGTGCTGGGGATACAGCCTTAAGTAAAATACTTGGTTCCTACTCTTTTTTTTTTCTTGAGACAGAGTCTAGCTCTGTCACCAGGCTAGAGTTCAGTGGCACGATCTCAGCTTACTGCAACCTCCACCTCCCAGGTTCAAGCAATTCTTCTGCCTCAGCCTCCTGAGTAGCTGAGATTATAGGCATGTACTGCCACATTCAGTTAATTTTTTTTTGTATTTTTAGTAGAAACAGTGTTTTACCTTGTTGGCTAGGCTGGTCTTGAACTCCTGACCTCAGGGTATCAGCCTGCCTTGGTCTCCCAAAGTGCTAGGATTACAAGTGTAAACTACTGCGACCAGCCTATCTTTATTTTATTTATTTATTTGACAGAGTCTCATTCTGTCACTCAGGCTGGAGTTCAGTGGCACAATCTCAGCTCACTGCAACCTCCACTTCACAGGTTTAAGCGATTCTCCTGCCTCAGCCTCCTGAGTAACTGGGATTACAGGCGCCCACCAGCATGCCCAGCTAATTTTTGTATTTTTAGTAGAGACAGGCTTTCACCATGTTAGCCAGGATGGTCTAGAAATCCTGACCTCAAGTGATCCACCCGCGTGGGCTCCCAAAGTGCTGGGATTATAGGCATGAGCCACCGATGAGAGTTTATAAATAGTAACCAAGGAAACAAATTCACAGGTTAATAAATGAATCTCCTGATACCATACAGCAGGGGTACCCAACCCCTGGGGTACAACCAATATCAGTCTGCAGCCTGTTAGGAACCAGGCCACACAGTAGGTGAGTGGCAAGTGAGCAGGCAAATCTTCATCTATGTTTACAGCCGCTTTCAATTCTCGCAATACCGCCTGAGCTCTGCCTCCTATCAGATCAGCGGAGGCATTAGATTCTCACAGGAGTGTGAACCCTACTGTGAACTGCGCATGCAAGGGATCTGGGTTGTGCACTCCTTGTGAGACTATCATGCCTCATCATCTGTCACTGTCTCCCATAACCCCCAGTTGGGACCATCTAGTTGCAGGAAAACAAGCTCGGGGCTCCCCCTGATTCTACATTATGGTGAGTTGTATACTGATTTTATTGTATATTACAATGTAATAATAATAGAAATAAAGTACTCAATAAATATAATACACTTGAAGCATCCTGAAACCATCCCCCAGCCTGGTCTGTTGAAAAACCATCTTCCACAAAACCAGTTCCTGTTGCCAAAAAGGTTGGTGACTGCTGTAATACAGTTAATAACTGATGGAAGAGGGGAATTAGATTCCTTC